ATTTCCCTTTTATCAGTATATGGCAATTCCATCTTTCCAGTTGCTGTGGCCAAAAATCCAGAGGCATCCTGCTCATCTTTTTCTCTTATGTCTCTGTCTGATCCATCAGCAAATCCTGTTGGCTCTACCTTGAAAATACATCTAGAATCTAGGTACCTCTCCCCACTTCGGCTGCCACCACCCAGACTCCAGGCACCTTCCTTTAGCACCGATATAGCCTCCTACCTGGCCTCCTTATTCCTACCCTTTCCCTCCCACATTCTGTTCTCAAGGCAACAGCCAGAGTGATTTTTTTTTTTCTTTTTTTTTCTGGCTGCACCACATGGCTTGCGGAATCTCCATTCCCCTGACCAGGGATTGAACCCCTGCCACAGCAGTGAAAGCCTGGAATCCTGACCACTAGGCCACCAGGGAATTCCCCAGAGTGATCTTTTAAAAACATAAATTATAAACCTCTTCTGATCCAAACCTTCCAGAAGCTCAGTTTCTTTTAAAGTAAGAGCTAAACTCCTGACATTGGCCTATACACTAAAGAGTTTTGTCTTAATCCCGTCAGGGAGGAACAAAGATTCATATTGGGGAAGTGATGTAATGGAAACTAAAATTTGGTCAGTGTGTTGAGGAAATGGGGTGGGAGTAAGTCCAGCAAAGAAGCTGCCATTGTAATTCAGATGTGAAGGGACAGGTAGCAATTAATAAAAATTACCTCCCATTTATTCAGTGCTATGTGCCAAACACTGTGCTTCCCACACCTTTCCTCATTTAAATATTTATAGCAATCTTGTGAGGTAGGTGTTATTATTATTCTCCTTTTACAGGTAGAAAAACCAGGTCCCAAAGAGGTTACATAACTTGCCCAGGGTCATACAACTAGGCAAGGTCAACAGAGCCATGTATTGAAACCCAAACCTGTGTGCTACCAATGCTTTCCAAGCTGTCATTTTCATTGACAAATGTTGAAACCAAGGGACATCATAAGAGTTTTCATGACAGAAAATAGAAATCTTTATTATAGAACAGCTGTGCATCAGTCTAGTTGTTTAAAGAAATTCCAAGTGGAGTATGATTTAAAGAAATAAAGCCATGTCTTTATAATTGGGCTTCTTACACATTAGTCTTCAGTTTTTGTCTTTTAGTGGGTAGTCTAACCTTGACTTCTTGGCTCTCTCCCAGAGCCAACAACCCTCCATCTGACTTTGGAAATAGCCATCATCAGGCTGGCTTAAGACTTCGGGCCAGGTTAATTTCCGAAGCCACAGGATGGCTTCCCTTGACTCCATGGCATCCACTCATCCTGAAGAGCCTGCCATTCCTGGCAGAGACGGGCTCTGAGTTCTCTGCACAGAATGAGAATTTCCCTTCTCATCCACCCCCTCCCATGGCTTCTGTCATAGCTGTAGCTCAGCTGTATCCATGCACTTCCCTACACATCCAACTCCTGGAGAGCTCAGGGCTCCTCCATCTGTTCATCTACCACAGGAAGAAGGGGAGTGAGGACAATTATACCCAACAAAGACTTGACTTAGCTGTTTGACCTTCAAAGCTATAGCTTGTTGTATTTCTAATTAGAAACCCCGGTGATAAGATTTGCACATTACACACTTCCACTCTGCACCCCAGATCCCTGAACAATACCCTCAAATAAGCCAGTGGTTTCTACTTCATTGATAAACCTACTTCTAACACAGGTACTTTCTTTCAAAGGGACCAAACCCACTTTCCCAGAACACAGTCCAGAACACAAGTGAGCAAGCCATAGCAAAGCTGTACAAACAATACTAATCTGTACACTTATAGAGCTCTTTAGAGTCAGCAATACTGTGGCTTGTTGGGAGGTCAGAGTTTGTAAGTTGCCATGGAAAATAGTTGGCCAATTAGTGTTGGAGCTACTGTCCCCTTCTATGCTCCAGGGTCTGCTGGGAGAACTGGAAATGGAGGGGGGTGGGGCCAGGTCAGCTGCAACTTTAGGGCTGAAGATGGGCCCAACCCCAAGGCTCAGCCTGGATCTCTGAGGAGGGAGGAATGGTCTACCTGGTTTGGGGAGGGCTGACATTAGGCCCTGCTTTGTGTCCTAGGTTTGGATGAGGGTAGATTTAAATGGAATATCAAGGTTTAGAACTGAAGGGTGGTACTAAAACAATATTGTAAATCAACTATACTTCAATTAACAAAAAAAAAGGGGGGGAATTGCAGGGTGGAAGGGAGGGAAAGGATGGGGCCAAGATTCTACCTTGGAACCTCCTTCATGGAGTGGGGAGCATCAGGCTTTAAGGTGCTCCTGTTTGACTTTGAAGACAGGAAAGTAGGAATCAACCAGAACTCTAGAATTCACAGCTCACTTTGCACATGAATGGCCCCCACCTTGGAGCTATGCAGCCCTAGATTGTGATTCCGTGGAGAAAAAGAGGGATATCAGGCAGCTGAAAGGGTGGTCGGTCAAGACCTGACCCAGCTTTCAGAAGGTGCCTCTATGTGTGTGTCGGGCAGTGCCGGAGGGGGGCAGGGCTCCTTTTTCTCTTTCTTCCACCTCCCCTCAACACCTTGACATGTTGAACTTTATCTGAACCTTGTACTTCTGGAAAGCAGCTACAGTCAAGAAATGCCTCCCCTGCTTTGTGTCCCCCCTCACCCCATTTTGAGTTCTGAAAATAGCCAACTTCAAAGGACTATCCTGTTCTAGAATATTCCAAGATAAGACCCCCTTCCACCCTTCCTCACTGACTCAGATAAGACCCTCTCCAGCCTTCCTCATGATGACTCCCTTGTTTACCTGCCTCTATAAAACCCCAGTTCCCTCCTTTTCTTTGATGCATTCCTCATTAGTGAGCATTGTCCCTTTTGCAACAGTCTGATTTATTGTCCTGTGCATTTTGTCTTTTACACCCTTCTCTTTTATTCCCTTTTTATTCATTGTAATGAGTTTCCTAATGAGACATCTCCTGACATAATCTACCAAATATCAAGCTCACAGCCTGCACACTGTGAATGTACTTAATGCCTCTGAACTGTATACTTAAAATGGTAAACTTTATGTTATATATATTTTACCACAGTAAAAAAATTCCAGCTGATAGAGAAATAAAATGAAAATAATTTTATTCAAAACAATGAGAATCCCTACTATGTGCTGGGTGATGGATTAGGGAGTGGGGAAGTGGGTGGGGCCTGGGATAGGAAATGAGTAAGATCTGCTCCCTGTGGTCCAGGAGCTCTCAGACTTGCTGGGGAAACAAACATATAATCTGCTAATTGAGCACCATAATTCAGAATGACACACATTGTAATAGACATGTGTACAGCCTGATTTGACTCAGGCTGAGCAGGGCCTTGAATGTTACACTAAGGAGTTTGGATTTTATCCTGTGGTAATTGGGAGGCATGCACGGTTTTAAAGCCAAGGTATGACACGGATAGATGTATTCAATTCCTAATGTCTTATCACCAGTCATCTGCTTTGTGTGGAGTGTGTAAAAGATCAATAGCTGTGACAGCTTTAATTTTAAAAAGTTGATCCCCCATAAAACAGGCTCATAGTCATATATCTCCTATTAAATATATTTATGCTCAGGAAAGAAGGATTTAACTTTGGTCAAGTCTATTGGGAAGACAGAGACACAGAGCTGGCAAGTACTGTGTAAGAAATGTGCTTGGAAACACTGAGAGCTCAGAGTGGGGCACTGCCCGCTGGCTGAGGGGGTCAGGGAAGGCCTCCAGGAGAAAGTGGGCTGGGGCAAAGGAGAGGGAACAGGGGAAACTGGAGCATATAGACAAGGAAGGGGGTATGTGGGCCAGATGGCAGATGGCTTTGTGTGCTAGGCTGAAGGGCCTGAATCCCTTCCCCACAGGTGATGGTGAACCATACCGGGCTCTGTTAATAATGATGGTGATGCTGCTGATACTGCAGTGCTTACTACATGGCAGACGCTACTCTAAGAAGTAAGAGCTTTACCCGTATGGACTTATTTAACCCTGACACTCAGGAAAGTGCATGGGTAGATGGTTTAGATCACTTGGATGGCCATGTGGATAATGGTGGACAGAACAACAGTTGGGACACTTGCTGTGGTTCAGGGGAAAGACAAAGGGAGGGATGGAAAGGATGTGATGGCTTTGAGAAATAGTTAGGGATAAAACCATCAAGACATGATTATTTACTGTTTTGGTGGTGGAATTGCTGAGAAAGAGAATGGAAGCTGGGATGAATCTCACTTTTTTGGCTTCGGGGCCCGGATGTATTATTGCACCAACAGGTAAAGGATTGATTACTCTGTTCCATTTCTCAGAGGACTCGCTGAAGTCGCCCAGTGCCTCCTACTTCCTCACGAGTAATTTAGAAGTTAGTTTAATTTCCAAACATTTGGAGATTTCTCAGAAATCTTTCTGTTATTGATTTCTAGTCTAATACTGTAATGATAGGAGAACATCCTTTATGTGCTTTCAATTCTTTTAAATTTGTGCAGGTTTGGGTTTTTTGGTTCAGATTATCTTGGGAAATGTTTCTTTTGCACCCGAAGAAAATGTGTCTTCTGCTGTTGTTGGCTGGAATTTCTATAAATGTCATCAGGTCAAGTTGTTTGATAGTGCTCTTCAAGTCTTTTATAAATTTGATAATTTTCCTGATAATTTTCCAACTGCTGGAGTTGTGAAGTTGTCTATTTCTCCCTTCAGTTCTATAGATCAGTTGATAGATTCGCACGGTCAGGAGGGTACTATGGCAGAGAGGCTAGAACGTTTGCGTGGAACTGGAGGAAACATTTTATCTCTTTAAATTTACTCTAGAATGTATAGACGAAATGGAAATCACTACGTATCCCAGCAGGCCTAGTGGCACTCAGGACAAATGCAAATAAGGGAATCCAGGCATTCGGCCACGCCCCTTTCCTGAGTTGGCCAGGCAAACTGGTACTCAAGCCAGCCAATCGGTGAAATGTTCACCTGTGGGGGCGGGGACTCAACGAGAGCCAATAGGACGTGAAGAAGGTGGTTCCATGGGCCAATGGCTTGGACGACGGGGCGGGCTTTCGATGAAGGGCAGGCAGTGGGAAAGATGGCGGCGGCCCTGCAACACTCTGGGTGGTGGCAGCTGTGGTGGCGGCGTTTGTCGGCTCGGGATGGGTCCAGGATGTTGCTCCTTCTTCTTTTGTTGGGGTCTGGGCAGGGGCCACGGCAAGTCAGGGCGGGTCAAACGTTCGAGTACTTGAAACGGGAGCACTCGCTGTCGAAGCCCTACCAGGGTGAGGCGCCGGGGGCGAGGTGGTCGTGCTTGGGGAGAGCTTCCGGACCTGAGCTTGTCCGTAGAGGCGGAGGCGGTGAAGGGCTTCATGGCCCCGAGGATGCTGCCGGCTGTGGGTGGGGGCACCGGGGGCTCTCGCTGTGTTTGGGAGCCACGGGTACGAAGGGCAGGGGCCCGTTTACCCTCCCCCCGACCCCGGAGTTAGCCCTGGGAGTTTCCAGCAGGTCGAAGCCGCACTCTCGGATGCCGCTAGCGCCGGGCCTGGAGGAAGGGGAGCTTAGAGTTGAACAGGAGGAATGTGGGAAGGGGAGAGAACTGCGACCGGTGGGAGTGATTGAGGGCCACTAGCAATGAGCCGGGCTCCGGATGGAGCTGTGGATGTGCTAGAAATAAAGCAGGCGGCAGAGGTAGGGTAGAACTTGGCCGGACTGAGAAGATAAAATTCTGTTGTCAGTTAAGACACGTGTTCTTCTCCAGTCCAGGAGCCCTCTTGATGAAAGAGGCTGGTTAGCTTTGCTCTGTTTAGTGTTCGTAGGCCGCTAGGCACAGCTTATCAACCAGAAAATTTACACGGTTAGCTACAAAGAAGACCAAATCAGTGTAGATGGCTTAATTAACACAAGTCTGTTTCCCCACTGGAAGATATGGGGACAGCAAACAAACAAAAACACAAAATGCAAGAGTGTATACACTGCTGCTAAGGGTGATTATTTACTTAGCAGATGCATCCAGTGCCTTCTCGTTGCTAATACTGTGGGTTATACAGACACAAAGTTCTCACTCAAGGGGCTGATAGTCTGAAGTAAGGAGAAAAGTAGCTTCACGCTTGGATTGTTCAAAGAATGTGATTAAGCCCCAGAGCCCCAAAGGGTCAAGCTCTTTTGGTATAACTGGGGAAATTTTTTATTTCATGGTGCTAAAATTTACTCACATACAAAATGGGGAAGAATGGATCTGAGCTGTGGCTACTGTGGCATGGATAAAGTGACAGCTCTGATGTGCTCTGGGGTCTTCACCTGAGAAAGTCTTCGTGAAAGGAAACTGTAAAGATGGTAAAGAGTTGAGATGTTATGAGTGACAGAAGGTGGGAGATCGAGTGACATGAAAGGAAAAAACGGTGATGCCTCCAGCTTTCGGAGGGTCCACGGTGGCTTTCCGAACGGGTTGGTGTTGAAGAGAATGAACTGATCTACTTCCTCTCCGTAGGTGTAGGCACGAGCAGTTCCTCCCTGTGGAATCTGATGGGCAATGCCATGGTGATGACCCAGTATATCCGCCTTACCCCAGATATGCAAAGTAAACAGGGTGCCCTGTGGAACCGGGTGGTAAGAATCTTTCTCCCTCCTGTGTGGCTGACCCAGAAAGTACTAAAAAGTTCACCAGTGGCATACTGACTTAATTTCACTGTCTATCCCAGTATTCTGTCTTCTGTGGATATCAAGGATTTTCATTTCAGAGATTATCATGACCTTCATAATGAAATCAGATATTTAAGGAGACGCTCTGTTGCCCTAAGTATAGCAGATAATCAATTTTGATTCTATTTTCTGAAAATAGAAAAATAGCAGTCTTTAATTCCTGATTGACCTGATAGTGTTATTTTGCAGGTTAAGTTAACTCATGTTTAATTACTTTGCTTTATGAAATAGAAGACTGCTCTTTTAAATTTATCTCAAGCTTCATCCCAGTAACACCCCCCCCTTGTTATTTCCCTTTGAGTCGAATTTTAAATTTTATTTTCGTGTAAAAGCCACTTTGAGCCCTTGGTCATTTTATTTGTCCTTCTTCTCTGGGCCTTTTCTAGCTACATTGTCTTCCTTGAGGTATGGCGGCGAGAAGTGAATGCAGTATTCCTGGTGTGGCTGCACTGTGATTTTGTACAAGTGTAAGATGATGCTTTCTTTTCGGTTTCCAGGGCTCTTTCTCAATCTTTTATGACCACTTTTAGGAATGACCTTGGCATCCTTTAACACTTTCTTGTGGGTTCGTAGAAGCTAAGAACTTACTTGTACATGGTTTTTATCGTTAGTTGTAGACAAGTGAATCTCAGAAAAGGAAATGATTTATTTCCCCTGTTCATTTTGTGTGGCAGAGAACTCTAAAGGAGCAGTGGGATGAGAAGTTTCTACGTGGAGCTGTTTGCACAAGCTGGCCCCTTATCCCAGACTGCAGTGCTGAACTCAGTCTTGGACAGAATGCAGGGCAGTGTGTTCTGGTAGAAGAGGTGAAGGGCTGGCAGTTGAAAGACTTGGGTTCTCAATCTAGCTGTATCACAGACCCACTGTGAGCCCTGGCCGGTATTTATCCTCTCTGTTTGCAGTTTCTCCAACTGTTAAATGAGCTTCATAATATCTGTTCTACTTGCCCACCAGGATTATTGTGAGAATAAAATAAGGCAATAGACATGAAAAAGCTTTGGAAAGTTAAAATGGTTATAGAAATGTGCTGTTGTTTGTTACACCTCTGTTACAAGGTTCACTGATACAGGTCTACGGATTATAAATGATTGTGTCCAAGACTTTGCTGCTGTCTTGCTAGCTGTCTCTACTTAACCCTTTTATGTAGCAGTGATTCTAGAGTAGGATCTAGTTATCTTGCTCTTTTTCAGATTCTCTGATACCTGTATTTTTTGTTATTTGACTCTCAGAATGAGCTTTGGCATTGTTTCTGAGTTATTTGAATAGGATGGATTTGTTTGAGCAGTTCTCAAATTTGGCTGTCCATTGGAGTTGGTGGCTGGGTCCCACCCCCAGAGATTCTGAAATAATTGGAATGGGGTGCAGCTTAGACACTGGGATTTTTAAAAGCTCCCTAGGTGAATCTAATATGCAGCAAAGTTTGAGACCCACTGTTAGACATATCCCTGAGCAAAACTGTATAGCATTGCGCTACACAAGGCCAAGGATAGATGGCAGATGCCTCTTGGCTCAGTGTGAACTTCTCTGGCCCTGCTCTCTTCCCAGGGGCATCATACCTACCCATTGGCTACGGGGCAGCTTCCTGCCACTGAATTTCACTCTTGCTATGAAATCTAAATGAAATAGCAGAAAGATGAGAACCCCGAATGACAACACAGGGATTGGGCTCATCAGAGGAGGGAAAGCTATTGGAGATTTCAGGGTTGTTTGGTGAACTCAGGAGTATCCATACCCCTTTTATTTTTGACTATGTACTCCTAATACTAACACTTTTGGAAGATTTCCCAGAAATTAAAAATGAAAACTGAAAATAATCTAGCAGTATGTTGCTCAAGAGCCAGAACAATCTTTTTTTTTTTTTTTTGGCCACGCCACGAGGCCTGTGGGATCTTAGTTCCCTGACCAGGGATTGAACCCGGGCCCTCGACAGCAAAAGAGCGGAGTCCTAACCACTGGACTGCCAGAGAATTCCCCAGAACAGTCTGTTTGGAGGGCCTTTGTCTGAACCCCACTGGTCTATCTGCTCTTCCTTCCCTTCTTTCTTCACGGTGAACTTTAACCAGGAGCCTCTGTAAATCAGATGCCCACTCTGGTTTGAAAGTCGGTTGAAAGTTGTTGAAAGTGTTCAGCTATTTAGAACACTTAACCATCTACTTACTTCCTTCTCCATTTTTCCAAGGTTTTGATACACAATTCAAAAGAAGAAAAACAGGGCTTCCCTGGTGGCACAGTGGTTGGGAGTCCGCCTGCTGATGCAGGGGACGCAGGTTTGTTCCCCCGTCCGGGAGGATCCCACATGCCGCGGAGCGGCTGGGCCCGTGAGCCATGGCCGCTGGGCCTGCGCGTCCGGAGCCTGTGCCCCGCGACGGGAGAGGCCACGGCAGTGAGAGGCCCGCGTAACGCAAAAAAAAAAAAAAAAAAAGAAGAAGAAAAACAAGAGTCTGTTTGGTAACCACCTCCTTAAATGTTTTTCCACCAGAGGCTGTCCCTGTGCTGGGGATGGTGGTGTTCTCCTTTGGTGCATTTGTGCTGCTTGGCCGTGGGCCTGAGGTTGGTGGGGGCATAGCTTACCCTTTCTCAAGGGAACTCTGAGGTGCCCCTCAGCTTGGCATAGGGCAAAGTCTAGCCAATTAAAGTTGTTTATAGCATCTGCTAATTATTTCTGGAGACCTTTGCAGAATGACATAGCTTATGTTTTTCTTTTGTAATGAATGAGGCTTTGACCCTTCTTGAAATCCAAGCTTTTTAGAGTCTTTCTGTCAGAGGGGTGATCTTAAGTTGCAGGTGAGTGTTAATTAGTCAGCCACCTCTGCTCTGTAGACTGAGATCCTTTGCTGGGTGGATGTAGGATCACAGTGCTCTAACATGAAGATCTCTTGTCTTTTCCAACTTTGGAGTGCTGTCCTGTTTCTGTTGGGAGATGGTGAAGATAATGGGGAGGTTTATTCACTTTTCATATTAAATATCATATACAGTTGAATGGCTCGACCTGTTTAATTTTACCACACGAACACTTAGCAAGTCTTAGATCTCGGTTTTACCCCTTAGCCTCATGTCACCTGCGTTTGTGTTTTCCGAGTCTGTAGACTGTGGATGAGGGCCTGAGGGCTTCGTGTTTCATGTTCCTCACTGATTCTAGGGTCTTTTTCACTTTAGCCGTGTTTCCTGAGAGACTGGGAGTTGCAGGTGCACTTCAAAATCCACGGACAAGGGAAGAAGAACCTGCACGGGGACGGCTTGGCGATCTGGTACACGAAGGATCGGATGCATCCAGGTACTGGGACCCTGGGTTGCTCTTGTGGGGTGCGTGACAGGCCTGCTTTTTTGTGTGCCTTCTTTTTGAGAAGGGCGCGTCTCCACAGTGCCAGCGGTTTTCCCTCTCCCTTGATGTCTGTAGATAAAGACTGGCCTGTCTAGTCTCTAGAATGGGGTCTGAGTCCTAAAAGCAGCTGAACTTGACTCATCCCGGGGTGATTTCTTGCTAATTGGTAACTTCCACTTTCCCTTTGAAACCTCCCGGCCCGTTGGCCGGAGGAAAGCACTGCCTGTCCCGAACACTGACATTGGGCATGCTGGTTTCTTCTGGGCATGCGTAGTGACCGATCTCAGAACTCCTGAGTCAGGAGAAAGGAGAAGAGTTATCTATTTCTCCTTGTTGTGCGGGAGCCATTGCTCCAAGTTGTGGCAAAACTCAGCCTGATTTGACCTGATCTCTTCTGCAACAAGAAATGGAAACTTGGGAATTCAGTTCTCTCAGGGGTGTAGCCGTCACCAGGTGTTTGTGAAGCAGAATTCTTTAGGGGCGCCTTAGCAACCAGTTTGGATCAGGGAGCAACTGGGGTGCTAAACAGGGTGGTGCTGGCCTTCCCTCTTTCCCGCCTTTAATGACAAACAACTGCAGGTGCTTACTGGGTGCTTGGTACAGGCCGTGCCCTTCACTGGGTGCTTTTACAGCCGTTTCCTCGTCTTAAGGAGAGGCTGGGGAGTCTTGAATTTCATGTTTTCCTCTATCATAGTGGTGTATTATTCCTTTATCAACTCTTGGCTTTATTTCACTGTTCATCTGTTCTTTCTCTCTAGGGCCTGTGTTTGGAAACATGGACAAATTTGTGGGGCTGGGAGTATTTGTAGACACGTATCCCAATGAGGAGAAGCAGCAAGAGGTAATGGCAAGTGTCAGAGCTTAGGTCAGCTGCCCTGACGTCACAGCCCTTTGCCTTAGGAATGTTGTTCAAGAGGAAACAGAGGGGAAAGAAAGTGAGGGGTTCGGTTCTATTTTCTTCACCTGCTGAACTTCAAGAGTTAATGTCTCTGTCAGGGTGTTTTCTAGATAGAGCTGTTTATGGTGCACAGTCTTGGGAATGGCTCTCGCGAATGGGGCTTTTTCTTTCGTGTTAACAGTGTGCTCTCTTGTGCACGTTGGGAGCCCCTAGGCTTGAGCATGCGTGGCTGGTTGGTGCGCCTAGGCCAGCACAGAGCAAGCTGAATTTATGTACCCCCACTCCCCTGACGTCCTGTATCACTGCTGAGCTCTCTTCTGCAGCTGCTCCCCCTTGCCAGCATCCTCTTCTTCTTCCTCTTCCCAGAGGACTGCACGGCAAGTCTCCTCTCTTCTAGGAAAGGCTGTAGAAAGAAATTGATGAAATCTCAGCATTTTGTTGAAACCCAGTATCTGGCTGTTGGCAGAAGCTTCTTGCTGTTAGCTGACCCTGAGTGTTCTTAAGTACTTACTGTCTTACACTAGCAACAGGTCTGCGCTCGCTCTCTGCCTAACGGCCCTAAGAGCAGATGGTGGGAAGATGATCAGGACACGTTGTTGCTGGGTATCCTGTTGCTAAATAATATTTAGCAAGGAGGGCAGGATTAGGAATGGAGGCAGAACTTACTGTACTTTTTTCCCCAAAAGTTCCTTATGAAAAATTTCAAACTTATAAAAAAATTGGATGGACAGATCATTGTATATACAACACCCAGATTCAACAGTTTTTCACATTCCCCACAGAGTTCTGCTTAGAGGAAGTGGAAAGTGAGACCTGAGTTAGGAGAGGAACCTTTGTTGTGGGTCAGTTATAGACTTGCTTCTCCACGTTGCTTCTGGGCTCTTCTTCCGTCCATCAGACCTCAAGCACTTTCAAGGTGCCAGGCCCTGGGAATTAGCGAGACCAGCACAGTCCTTGCACCTAGTAGCAGGGGTGCTGATGTAGTAGTGAGGGTGCTGATGGGGGTGCTCCAGGGGGGCTATAGGAAGACCCAGCAGGAGCATCTAACCTGGGGTGGAACGGTGGTGGTGGGGACAGTGGTTGGGAAAGACTTCTTCCAGGAAGTGACATTGACGTTGAAATCTGCAGACTTAGGAACCAGTGCAGAGGGAAAAGCCATGTGTTATGGTGATAAAGTTAGAGAAGGGAAAGTGGATGTGAGGGGGAAAAGGGGGGTCAGGGAGAGATGAGGGTAGAAAGAAAAACAGGGCCCTCAGTCTCGCCATGTTCCAGGGCCGCCATTCACATTGCATTCTTTGCTGCTAACACTCTTCCCTCTTGAGCAAGTTAACTGGCCCGTGAGATTGAGCAGCGTCTCCTTGGGGAGTTGGTGACTTGGCTGTTTAGACCTGCAGCAGAGCAACCTGAATGTAGGTGACTCGTCCTCACCGTGCACATTGTGGGGCAGGTTCTGAAGGGTGGTGTGTCTGTTGGGGAGTCTGGGTTTCTAAGGATTTTAAAGGGGTAAGTACATTAAAGGATTTTAATGAGGGGAATGTCATGAGAAGGTTTGCAGTCCCGCTGAAGAAATAGTGGTGGTAGTTAGAAATACATCTGAATAAGAGGTGTGGGCTTCAGGGCTTGACTAGAGTTTTTTTTTGTTTGTTTTTGCGGTACGCGGGCCTCTCACTGCTGTGGCCTCTCCCATTGCGGAGCACAGGCTCCAGATGCGCAGGCTCAGCAGCCATGGCTCACGGGCCCAGCCGCTCCGTGGCACGTGGGATCCTCCCGGACCGGGGCACGAACCCGCGTACCCTGCATCGGCAGGCGGACTCCCAACCACTGCGCCACCAGGGAAGCCCTTGACTAGAGTTTTAAACGTGGCTCCCTGTTTCTCCCAGAAATAAATCGTTCAAACTCTTTTAGCTTCCATTTCTCCATCAGATAGGAGTAATTCTGGTTGAGAGGGCAGATCTGATGGGCCTCATTTTGTAAGGAGAGTAGATGTTAATCAAAAAAAATTAGTTTCAGATGGTAAAAATCGGGACTTCTTTTCTGCCTTACTCCCAGCTGCACTTGGAATTACCTGGAGAGCATTTAAAACTATTGATGTCCAGGCCCCGAGGTCAGAGAGCCTGATGCTGTTTGTCTTAGGTGCAATCTGGGTACCCTTACTTTTTCAAAGATCTCCAGGTGAGAGTCCCATACATAACCAGGTTGAAGAACCCCTGGATCAACGTCAGGTCATTGTTTCCTTATTATTTATTAAACAAATTTATTTATTAAAGCTAAATTTAAAAAAACCGAATAAAAGCAGTTTCTGTTTTTCAGTGGCTGTTATGTGCCAGGTACTTTGCAGTTATTATTTTGATCCTCATCAAATCTCTTTATAGTCAATATTATTCTTCCCATTTTACCAATGCATAAACAGAAGGCTGGAGAAGTGTCTTGTCTAAGGTGACAGCCAATGTAAGGTGGAGCCAGATTTTGAACACTGGTCCACCTGATTCCACAGGCTGCACTTGTAATTATGGTGCTCTGCCGCCTCCCATCCGTTTTTTCCTTATGCCAGGATGATTTCCTTGGGAACGGAGACATTCATTCTCAGAGTGACGTCCTCTGCAGTTTCAGTTCTCAGAGCTTATGCTCAGTGCAGAGAGTAGAGAATGTGTACTCCTCTCTGCATCCCAATGACCTGGCACTGCCTTAGAGGGTGAAGTCAAATGTGTTTTGTTAGCGGCATGGTTTTCTTTGACATCATACTTGAAGGCGCCAGGCATCGTTTTGAGTGCTTTTACATGTCTTAGCTATTTATCCTAACAACCCCTTGGGGTAGATATTATTATTATCCCTACATTATGGGTAAGAAGCTGAAGTACAGAAAGGTTAAAAAAAACTCGTCAGTGACACCCAGGTAGTGGGTTTGACTCCAGAGACTGCAACCTCTTTATTTTGCTCTATTATTTTGAGCTCATAAGGAGAAGGTAACAAATATAGTACCTTTTGAAAATTTGGAAACGTCATGTGTTGAAGATATGCTGGACGAGGAGGACAAGGAGCAGGCAGGAGGGGCTGTGGAACAATTCAGCAGGTCACTCAAGGCAGTGGCAAAATTGTCTCTCTGGTTTCTTGTTTCCTTGTCACCAGAGTGCCCTTGACATCGTTGCTCAGTTCATTGTCTACCACGTTTGTTCATGAGGAAATATTGGGAAAATACTAGCAACATTAATGCATCTGAGAAGGGGGTGAGGGAGTTTAGCCTTGCTCCCTGAAATCTGGACACATTGTTCAAAATCACAACCTCAGTTCCCCCATGAGCAATATAAGAATTGTTGTTTAGGTAAGTCAAGAGCTTTAGTATTTGAAGAACAGGGTACCACCTGTGCCACAGTGAGATTGTCAGACCATAAATGGCTGTTAAAATGATAGTTGAAGAAATAGAAAATCTGGATAGATTGAATTGGTAATTAAAAAGTGACTCACAACGAAAAGCTCAGGCCCAGATGGCCTCACTGGTAAATTCTACCAAACATAAGGTAGAATTAATACCAATCCTCAAACCCATATGAAAAGTCAAAGGAGCAGATGCTAACCAATTCATTCTTTGAGGCCAGTATTATCCTGATACCAAAGCCGGATAAAGACATCACAAGAAATGGAAAGTACAGACCAATATCTCTTGTGAGTATAGATGTAAAAGTCATCAACAAAATACTGGTAAACCAAATCTAGCAACATATAAAAAGGAGTATACACCATGTATAAATACACTATATTCTAGGAATTCACAATTGGTTTAATACCTGAGCATTAATATGATAGACCATATTAATAGAATAAAGGACAAAAACCATATAATCATATAGATGTAGAAAAAAGTATTTGACAAAATTAAATACCTTTTTATGATAATAAAAATACTCAACAAATTAGTAATAGAAGGGAGCTTAACCTGATAAAGGGCATTTATGAAAACCCTACGGCTGACATCATACTTAATTGTGAAAGACTGAATCCTTTCCCCCTAAGATCAGGAATAAGGCAAGACTGTCTGCCCTTGCCTCTTCTGTTCAACATTGTACTGGAGGTTCTAGTCAGGGCAGCTAGTCCAGATTGGGAAGGAAGAAGTAACGATTTCTCTTTGTAGATGATGTGATCTTATCTATAGAAAATGCTAATGAATTCACAAAAAGCTATTAGAACTAATGAATTCAGCAAGGTTACGGGATATAAGATCAACATACGAAAATCAATTGTGTGTTATATTCTTGCATTGAACAATCAGAAAATGAAAGTAAGAAAACAATTCCATTAACTATCGTCAAAAAGAATAAAGTACTTAGAAATAAATTTAACTGAAAAACTTATACTCTGAAAACTATGAAGTATTGTTGAAAGAAACTGAAAAAGAGCTAAGTCAGTGGAAAGACATGCCATGTCATGGATTGGAAAATTTTGTATCATTAAGATGGTGATACACTCCCCACATTGATCTACAGATTTGAGGGAACTCCTATCTTTCAAATGCCTAGCTGGCTTCTTTGCAGAAATTGACAAGCTGATTCTACAATCAGTATTGAAATTCAAGAGAACCAGAATAGCCTCCTCTTGATTAAAGAGGAGCAAAGTTGGAGGACTCACACTTCCTGTAATTAAAACTTACTATAAAGCTACAGTAATAAAGACAGTGTGGTACTGGCATAAGGGTAGACATATAGGTCAATGGAATAGAATTGAAAATCCACACATAAATCCTCACAATTATGAACAAGTGATTTTTGATAAAGGTGCCAAGTCAGTTCAATAAGGAAAGAATCATCTCTTCACCAGATGGTGCTGAGACAACTGGATATCCATAGGCAGCATAATGAAGTGTTTCCCTACCTCACACCATACACAAATGTTAACCCAAAGTGGATCAAAAACTAAACGTGAATCACCAAAATTAAAAAGTTTTATACTTT